GAGCTTTCACAGAGAGATGGACAGGGTTAGAGCTTTCACAGAGAGATGGACAGGGTTAGAGCTTTCACAGAGAGATGGACAGGGTTAGAGCTTTCACAGAGAGATGGACAGGGTTAGAGCTTTCACAGAGAGATGGACAGGGTTAGAGCTTTCACAGAGAGTAGGACAGGGTTAGAGCTTTCACAGAGAGAGGGACAGGGTTAGAGCTTTCACAGAGAGATGGACAGGGTTAGAGCTTTCACAGAGAGATGGACAGGGTTAGAGCTTTCACAGAGAGATGGACAGGGTTAGAGCTTTCACAGAGAGAGGGACAGGGTTAGAGCTTTCACAGAGAGATGGACAGGGTTAGAGATTTCACAGAGAGAGGGACAGGGTTAGAGCTTTCACAGAGAGAATGACAGGGTTAGAGCTTTCACAGAGAGAGGGACAGGGTTAGAGCTTTCAAAGCAAATGGGCTGGGTCCTGGTCAAAAGATGTGCACTTTATAGTTAATAGGGTGCCATTTGGGATGCAACCATATTAACAGCATCAAAGAGATTATTTATTCACACCACAGCAATAGCCTTGATTCTTGATGCCATTCACTAGTCCACAAGAGCAAAGGATAAAGTCAATTATCATTGTCACATAAGCATGAATAAATGTAACTTTAATAAATTAAAACTAATAATTCACAGTTTATAAGCTACATTTAATCATTTAAAACTCCTTTATAAAGTACACCTTAATCATGTGTTACTGTTACCCTGTATTTTTAACACAGTAACCATAACTCCTGTAAAGTCACTGTGACATGTGACTCTCTCCATCTATTGTCCAAGCTCTCTCTTTGTCAAAAAACACTTTTCATGGCAGGGAGCTCAATTATGGTGCAGGGAAGGTGTTTCTGCAGAAGAAAACCTGCTCTCTAGATACAGTATAATTCCTATCACAGCAGGGAGGGACATTATGACACTCAGATGAGACAGACCAAGATATAGACTGATACCCCATCCACACAATTTCAACCATGAGATAATCAGGGCAGCAGCGGTCTCTGAGTTGATACAGTCATACTGAATAGGCCACCTGGTGTGAATGTATTTCCAGATGAATGTAATTGTAGGGCGGTGGTGTTGTTTGTTACTGAAATAGCCAACTTATGTTATGTTATTAGTTACAAGGATGAGGTAGAGAGACATGAGTCAAGTTAACATTTTAGTGGGTAGAAAATATGGTAATGACACGGGTGATACATCTGGGTCTTGACATACATGGACAGATATGTATTAACCCTTTACAGGACCATTCAGTCATACCACCTACAATAGGGATTAATAAGAATCCTTGCAATCACCAGTGCTGTGGAGCTAGTCAGTGTATGACATAGTGGACAAGACAAAAGAGACAGGGAATTGAGTCGTGCCATGTGAATAATTCAGATATGGTATATTACACTGGCTGGAACTACTGGGAAATAATCTATTGACTTATGACATGGAAGGTCAATGGAAAAGGTGAACAAATGTCTCCATATGTGACTGAGGCAAGAGGTACTGTAATAAAAAAGTGAATAAATTGCTTTAGAATAAGTCATGCTCTATTGTCATGTAGACTATAATAAACGTGTATTGTATTTCAGTCCTTCCTTGAATGTGGGATATCTATATAAAATGCAAGTTTGAGTGGCATTCATCTCGGCAACCCACAACCAACGGCATATAGCCTACAGTATAGTCTACACAATGATCTAAAATCACAACAACCACGTGGCAATAAATTAAACTGTCCCCATATAGGTAGGCTATACAACACTACTGTGTCAATAAATTAAACTGTCCCCATATAGGTAGGCTATACAACACTACTGTGTCAATAAATTAAACTGTCCCCATATAGGTAGGCAATACAACACTACTGTGTCAATAAATTAAACTGTCCCCATATAGGTAGGCTATACAACACTACTGTGGCAATATATTAAACTGTCCCCATATAGGTAGGCTATACAACACTACTGTGGCAATAAATTAAAATGACCCATATAGGTAGGCTATACAACACTACTGTGGCAATAAATTAAAATGTCCCCATATAGGTAGGCTATACAACACTACTGTGGCAATAAATTAAAATGTCCCCATATAGGTAGGCTATACAACACTACTGTGTCAATAAATTAAACTGTCCCCATATAGGTAGGCTATACAACACTACTGTGTCAATAAATTAAACTGTCCCCATATAGGTAGGCTATACAACACTACTGTGTCAATAAATTAAACTGTCCCCATATAGGTAGGCTATACAACACTACTGTGGCAATATATTAAACTGTCCCCATATAGGTAGTCTATACAACACTACTGTGTCAATAAATTAAACTGTCCCCATATAGGTAGGCTATACAACACTACTGTGGCAATAAATTAAAATGTCCCCATATAGGTAGGCTATACAACACTACTGTGTCAATAAATTAAACTGTCCCCATATAGGTAGGCTATACAACACTACTGTGTCAATAAATTAAACTGTCCCCATATAGGTAGGCTATACAACACTACTGTGTCAATAAATTAAACTGTCCCCATATAGGTAGGCTATACAACACTACTGTGGCAATATATTAAACTGTCCCCATATAGGTAGTCTATACAACACTACTGTGTCAATAAATTAAACTGTCCCCATATAGGTAGGCTATACAACACTACTGTGGCAATAAATTAAAATGACCCATATAGGTAGGCTATACAACACTACTGTGGCAATAAATTAAAATGTCCCCATATAGGTAGGCTATACAACACTACTGTGGCAATAAATTAAAATGTCCCCATATAGGTAGGCTATACAACACTACTGTGTCAATAAATTAAACTGTCCCCATATAGGTAGGCTATACAACACTACTGTGGCAATAAATTAAAATGTCCCATATAGGTAGGCTATACAACACTACTGTGGCAATAAATTAAAATGTCCCATATAGGTAGGCTATACAACACTACTGTGGCAATAAATTAAAATGTCCCATATAGGTAGGCTATACAACACTACTCTGTCAATAAATTAAACTGTCCCCATATAGGTAGGCTATACAACACTACTGTGGCAATAAATTAAACTGTCCCCATATAAATAATAATAATAATATGCCATTTAGCAGACGCTTTTATCCAAAGCGACGTACAGTCATATAGGTAGGCTATACAACACTACTGTGGCAATAAATTAAACTGTCCCCATATAGGTAGGCTATACAACACTACTGCGTCAATAAATTAAAATGTCCCCATATAGGTAGGCTATACAACACCACTGTTCTCGCAGCAATACTAAACAGGTGTGACAGTGTGTACGTAGGCTAAGCAAGTGTATTGCACTTACTGTCAGTTGGTGGTCCTTTGATTCGCCTGTGTCCTTCATGGCCACTGGTGGTTGGAGTATCCTCGACTTGTTAGAAAATAGTGGCAACTAAACTGGACATCGGTCAGACATCCTGCTCAATATACCTGCACGACCCCTCTCAACCCAACTGTATGGCTTGTCCAATGTCGAACTCGATCGACGACGAGAACTGGCCTACAAACCTCTACCTTTCCGCAAAATAGTTCTAATTTATTTACGGTTAAATAGACGCCTATTGCCAAAAGTGCGCTCTTTCAAAACAAGTCTAATATAACCGTGTAAAACGAGTCGCCTACATTCCGTTTAGTCTATTCTGTTTACAGAAATAATTCGGTTGTTCTTTTGCCCATGTCTTTGAAGACAGAGAGGATACCGACGAGGATGAGGAAGGAGAATTGGCAGGTGTCCACTGTTGCCTTCCCTTCGCTCTCTCTTCCTCTGACGACTCGTGTGTTGTTCCTGGAGACCCTTAGAGATCACTAGGTAAAGTTTACTCTGAGATGCAGCGGCGCGTAAAGCACCAGAGCAACCAGCTGTTTCTTGGATTTACCGCGGCCCAAAGGACGAGATCTGGTGGATAAATCGATGGCGCATAGAATTGCACAAACAGCTCTCCAAATTACGGTGACGCAATTGCTTGCCCTCGACAGTAAATATAACTTGACTGTCGTTTCCAGACTAAGATATTCAAATATAACATATGTTTATAGATCAAAATGAAATCTGCGGTATTGTAACTGATTCACTGAGGCTTGGCATATGACTAATTTCATACAATAATTATTCTTCATGATTTCTACAAAGGAAACAAAAATGTCAAAATCCCAAAAGACACAGATAGCAAAATACATTTCCTTTAATCAATGAAGACAACCCTAATATAATGATTTATAAATAAAATAACAATAATTAAACAGTAACTCAATCCCGTTAATGAGTTCCGCGTGACTCACTGAGAACATCTCTATTATAGAAAATGCCTTGCTGTTTATATTTGATTGATTCAAGATGACATTTCAGATGGCATGTGGAACATGGTGTTGTTAAGGTGTTCTGTCTCAGACTTCTTTCTCTTCACACACGTCTTTCTCCTGAGAGGGGACACATATATTACAGCATCAGTTTGTGACCACATAATCTACTGTATGTATCTGTAAGTAATTGACAATTACATCAGAAGTAAACCTAGCTTTTTAATGTCACTGAAAGGTAAAAAAAATACCAACAATCTATTTAATTCACTCCTATTTTCTTATTATAAAATATTTCTGTCATTACTGGGGGGAAAACATATAAATGTTGGTATTTACAGTCAGATTTACAGGTTATTGAGTTTTCATTCTCCAGACTAGCTAACAAACAGTAGGTTTTTATAGTCCCCAATCTTAATGGGCCACTGGACCAAAACAAGGGGCAATTTGTTACCCCTGGACAAAGAGTTGCAGCTCCGTTTGACAGGCAACTATCAGTGGTGATGTCATACAGGCAGGAGGACAGTAACAACTTCAGCAACGACTTCATTTTAAACAAAATCCGGACCCCTCTCACCAGCCGCCTCTAAATGTACAAACCCTTGACAACGTATATCAAACATAACTTGTGTAAAGTCACTGTGACATGAGACTCTCTCCATCTACTGTCCTGAAGTTCTCTAACACTCTGCACGGCAGGGAGCTCAATTATGGCCTGCACTGCAGGCAAGGTGTTTCTGCAGAAGAAGAAAACCTGTTCTCTAGACACACTATAATTACTATCACAGCAGGGAGGGACATTATGACACTCAGATGAGACAGACCCCTGTAGTGATACTTCATCCACACATTATCGACTATGAGATCATCAGAGCTGCCATGGTGCACAGAACAGAGTGTCTGAGTTCATGCTGTTACTGTATACAGTGCCTTGCAAAAATATTCATCCCCTTGGCGTTTTTCCTATTTTGTTGCATTACAACCTGCAATTTAAATTGATTTTTATTTGGATTTCATGTAATGGACATACACAAAATAGTCCAAATTGGTGAAGTGAAATGAAAAAAATAACTAATTTCAAAAAATTCAAAAAAAATAATAACGGAAAAGTGGTGCGTGCATACAGTTGAAGTCGGAAGTTTACATACACCTTAGCCAAATACATTTAAACTCAATTTTTCACAATTCCTGACATTTAATCCTAGTAAAAATTCCCTGTCTTAGGCCAGTTAGGATCACCACTTTATTTTAAGAATGTGAAATGTCAGAATAATAGTAGAGATAATTATTTATTTAAGCTTTTATTTATTTCATCACATTCCCAGGGTCAGAAGTTTACATACACTCAATTAGTATTTGGTAGCATTGCCTTTAAATTGTTTAACTTGGGTCAAACGTTTCGGGTAGCCTTCCACAAGCTTCCCACAATAAGTTGGGTGAATTTTGGCCCATTCTTCCTGACAGAGCTGGTGTAACTGAGTCAGGTTTGTAGGCCTCCTTGCTCGCACACACTTTTTCAGTTCTGCCCACACATTTTCTATATGATTGAGGTCAGGGCTTTGTGATGGCCACTCCAATACCTTGACTTTGTTGTCCTTAAGCCATTTTGACACAACTTTGGAAGTATGCTTGGGGTCATTGTCCATTTGGAAGACCCATTTGCGACCAAGCTTTAACTTCCTGACTGATGTCTTGAGATGTTGCTTCAATATATCCACATAATTTTCCTTCCTCATGATGCCATCTATTTTGTGAAGTGCACCAGTCCCTCCTGCAGCAAAGCACCCCCACAGCATGATGCTGCCACCCCCGTGCTTCACGGTTGGGATGGTGTTATTCGGCTTGCAAGCCCCCCCCTTTTCCTCCAAACAAAACGATGGATTTCTTTCCAGAGAGACATCAAGGCCTGTAACATACTTTGTTTCACGGAAACATGTCTTTCTGGGGATATTCTGTCGAAATCGGTCCAGCCAGATGGATTCTCAGTTCATCGCGCAGTCAGGAATAAATATCTCTCCGGGAAGCAGAAGGGTGGAGGTGTGTGTTTCATGATTAACGACTCATGGTGTAATTGTAGTAACATACAGGAACTAAAGTCCTTTTGTTCACCCGATCTAGAATACCTCACAATCAAATGCCGACCGTATTATCTCCCAAGATAATTTTCTTCGGTTATAGTCACGGCCGTGTATATCCCCCCTCAAGCCGTTACCACGACGGCCCTCAAACAACTTCACTGGACTTTATGCAAACTGGAAACCACATATCCTGAGGCTGCATTTATTGTAGCCAGGGATTTTAACAAAGCAAATTTGAGGACTAGGCTGCCGAAGATCTATCAACATATCGACTGTTGTACTCGCGTTACTAAAATCCTCAACCATTGCTATTCGAACTTCCGGGATGGTTATAAGGCCCACCCCCGCCCACCTTTCGGCAAATCTGACCACAACTCCATTTTGCTCCTCCCTTCCTATAGGCAGAAACTCAAACAGGAAGTACCCGTGCTAAGGACTATTCAACGCTGGTCTGACCAATCGGAATCCATGCTTCCAAGATTGTTTTGATCACGCGGACTGGGATATGTTTCGGATAGCCTACGAGAATAACATTGACGAATACACGGATACAGTGACTGAGTTTATCAAGAAGTGTATAGGTGATGTTGTGCCAACTGTGACTATTAAAACCTACCCTAACCAGAAACCGTGGATAGTTGGCAGCATTCGCGCAAAACTGAAAGTGCGAACTACCGCTTTTAACCATGGCAAGGCGACTGGGAATATGGAAGAATACAAACAGTGTAGCTACTCACTCCGCAAGGTAATTAAACTGGCAAAACATCAGTATAGAGACTAAGTGAAGTCACAATTCAATGGCTCAGACACGAGACTTATGTGGCAGGGTCTACAGACTATCACGGACTACAAAAGGAAAACCAGCCACGATGCTGACACCGACGTCTCGCTTCCAGACAAGCTAAACACCTTCTTCGCCCACTTTGAGGATAACACAGTGCCACCGACGGACTGTGGCCTCTCCTTCTCCGTGGCCGACGTAAATAAGACATTTAAGCATGTCAACCCCCGCAAGGCTGCCGGCCCAGACGGCATCCCTAGCCATGTCCTCAGAGCATGCGCAGACCAGCTGGCTGGTGTGTTTACGGACATATTCAATCTCTCCCTTTCCCAGTCTGCTGTTCCCACATGCTTCAAGATGGCCACCATTGTTCCTGTACCCAAGAAAGCAAAGGTAACTGAACTAAATGACTATTGCCCCGTAGCACTCACCTCTGTCATCATGAAGTGCTTTGAGAGACTAGTCAAGGATCATATCACCTCTACCTTACCTGTCACCCTAGACCCACTTCAATTTGCTTACCGCCGCAATAGATCCACAGACGATGCAATCACCATCACACTGCACACTGCCCTATCCCACCTGGACAAGAGGAATACCTATGTAAGAATGCTGTTCATCGACTATAGCTCAGCATTCAACACCATAGTACCCTCCAAGCTCATCATTAAGCTCGAGGCCCTGGGTCTGAACCCCGCCCTGTGCAACTGGGTCCTGGACTTCCTGACGGGCCACCCCCAGGTGGTGAAGGTAGGAAACAACATCTCCACTTCGCTGATCCTCAACACTGGGGCCCCACAAGGGTGCATGCTCAGCCCCCTCCTGTACTCTCTGTTCACCCATGACTGCGTGGCCAAGCACGCCTCCAACTCAATCATCAAGTTTGCAGACGACACAACAGTAGTAGGCTTGATTACCAACAATGACGAGACTGCCTACAGGGAGGAGGTGAGGGCTCTGGGAGTGTGGTGCCAGGAAAATAACCTCTAACTCAACATCAACAAAACAAAGGAGATGATCGTGGACTTCAGGAAACAGCAGAGGGTGCACCCCCCTATCCACATCGACGGGACAGCAGTGGAGAACGTGGAAAGCTTCAAGTTCCTTGCCGTACACATCACTGACAAACTGAAATGGTCCACCCACGCAGACAGTGTGGTGAAGAAGATGCAACAGAGCCTCTTCAACCTCAGGAGGCTGAAGAAATTTGGCTTGGCACCTAAAACCCTCACAAACTTTTACAGCTGCACAATTGAGAGCATCCTGTCGGGCTGTATCACCGCCTGGTACGGCAACTGCACCGCCCGCAACCGCAGGGCTCTCCAGAGGGTGGTGCGGTCTGCCGAATGCATTACCGCCGGCAAACTACCTGCCCTCCAAGACACCTACAGCACCCGATGTCACAGGAAGGCCAAAAAGATCATCAAGGACATTAACCACCCGAGCCACTGCCTGTTCACCCCGCGATCATCCAGTAGGCGAGGTCAGTACAGGTGCATCATAGCTTCTATCTCAAGGCCATCAGACTGCTAAATAGCCATCACTAGCACATTAGAGGCTGCTGCTGCCTATTGAAATCACTGGCCACTTTAAGAAATGGAACACTAGTCACTTTAATAATGTTTACATATTTTGCACTACTCATCTCATATGTATATACTGTATTCTATTCTATAATATTCTACTGTATCTTAGTCCATGCCGCTCTGTCATTGCTTGTCCATATCTGTATATATTATAAAATTCCAATCCTTACTAGATTTGTGTGTATTGGGTATATGTTGTGAAATTGTTAGATATTACTTGTTAGATATTACTGCACTGTCGGAGCTAGAAGCACATGCATTTTGCTACACCCGCAATAACATCTGCTAAACACGTGTATGTGAGAAATACAATTTGATTTGATTTGATTTGGTCATTATGGCCAAACAGTTCTATTTTTGTTTCATCAGACCAGAGGACATTTCTCCAAAAAGTACGACCTTTGTCCCCATGTGCAGTTGCAAACCGTAGTCTGGCTTTTTTATGGCGGTTTTGGAGCAGTGGCTACTTCCTTGCTGAGCGGCCTTTCAGGTTATGTCGATATTTGACTCGTTTTACTGTGGATATAGATACTTTTGTACCCGTTTCCTCCAACATCTTCACAAGGTCCTTTGCTGTTGTTCTGGGATTGATTTGCACTTTTCGCACCAAAGTACGTTAATCTCTAGGAGACAGAACGCGTCTCCTTCCTGAGCGGTATGACGGCTGTGTGGTCCCATGGTGTTTATACTTGCGTACTATTGTTTGTACAGATGAACGTGGTACCTTCAGGCGTTTGGAAATTGCTCCCAAGGATGAACCAGACTTGTGGAGGTCTACAATTTTTTTTCGGAGGTCTTGGCTGATTTCTTTAGATTTTCCCATGATGTCAAGCAAAGAGGCACTGAGTTTGAAGGTAGGCCTTGAAATACATCGACAGGTACACCTCCAATTGACTCAAATGATGTCAATTAGCCTATCAGAAGCTTCTAAAGCCATTACATCATTTTCTGGAATTTTCCAAGCTGTTTAAAGGCACAGTCAGCTTAGTGTATGTAAACTTCTGACCCACTGGAATTGTGATACTGTGAATTATAAGAGAAATAATCTGCCTGTAAACAATTGTTGGAAAAATTACTTGTGTCATGCACAAAGTAGATGTCCTAACCGACTTGCCAAAACTATAGTTAGTTAACAAGACATTTGTGGAGTGGTTGAAAAACGAGTTTTAATGACTCCAACCTAAGTGTATGTAAACTTCCGACTTCAACTGTATGTATTCACCCCCTTTGCTATGAAGCCCCTAAATAAGATCTGGTGCAACCAATTACCTTCAGAAGTCACATAATTAGTTAAATAAAGTCCACCTGTGTGCAATCTAAGTGTCACATGATCTGTCACATGATCTCAGTATATATACACCTGTTCTGAAAGGCCCCAGAGTCTGCAACACCACTAAGCAAGGGAAACCACCAAGCAAGCGGCACCATGAAGACCAAGGAGCTCTCCAAACAGGTCAGGGACAAAGTTGAGGAGAAGTACAGATCAGGGTTGGGTTATAAAAAAATATCCGAAACTTTGAACATCCCACGGAGCACCATTAAATCCATTATAAAAAAATTGAAAGAATATGGCACCACAACAAACCTGCCAAGAGAGCCCACCAAAACTCACGGACCAGGCAAGGAGGGCATTAATCAGAGAGGCAACAAAGAGACCAAAGATAACCCTGAAGGAGCTGCAAAGCTCCACGGCGGAGATTGGACTATCTGTCCATAGGACCACTTTAAGCCGTACACTCCACAGAGCTGGGCTTTATGGAAGAGTGACCAGAAAAAATCCATTGCTTAAAGACAAAAATAAGCAAACACGTTTGGTGTTCGCCAAAAGTCATGTGGGAGACTCCCCAAACATATGGAAGAAGGTACTCTGGTCAGATGAGACTAAAATTGAGCTTTTTGGCCATCAGGAAAAACGCTATGTCTGGCGCAAACCCAACACCTCTCATCACCCCAAGAACAGAATCATGCTGTGGGGATGTTTTTCATCGGCAGGGACTGGGAAACTGGTCAGAATTTAAGGAATGATGGATGGCGCTAAATACAGGGAAATTCTTGAGGGAAACCTGTTTCAGTCTTCCAGAGATTTGAGACTGGGACGGAGGTTCACCTTCCAGCAGGACAATGACCCTAAGCATACTGCTAAAGCAACACTTGAGTGGTTTAAGGGGAAACATTTAAATGTCTTGGAATGGCCTAGTCAAAGCCCAGACCTCAATCCAATTGAGAATCTGTGGTATGACTTAAAGATTGCTCTACACCAGCGGAACTCATCCAACTTGAAGGAGCTGGAGCAGTTTTGCCTTGAAGAATGGGCAAAAATCCCAGTGGCTAGATGTGCCAAGCTTATAGAGACATACCTCAAGAGACTTGCAGCTGTAATTGCTGCAAAAGGTGGCTCTACAAAGTATTGACTTTGGGGGGGTGAATAGTTATGCACGCTCAAGTTTTCAGTTTTTTTGTCTTATTTCTTGTTTGTTTCACAAAAAAAAATATTTTGCATCTTCAAAGTGGTAGGCATGTTGTGTAAATCAAATGATACAAACGCCCCAAAAAAATCAATTTTAATTCCAGGTTGTAAGGCAACAAAATACGAAAAATGCCAAGGGGGGTGAATACTTTCGCAAGGCACTGTATAGGCCATCTCATGTGAATGTATGGCCAGATTAATGCCATTGCAGGCTGGTGTTGTTGTTTGTTATGCTACTGAAATAGCCAACTAATTCAGTCATAAGACTTATAAACAACGGATTAATAATAACCCACTGGGCACAAACTGGTTGAATCAACATTGCTTCCACATAATTTCAACAACAAAAATCAATGGATGACGTTGAATCAACGTGGAAAACTGATTGGATTAGTAAAAAGTAATCAACCTAAAGGAAGTTCAGAAATGTTCTATTTTTTTCACTCAATCCCTTCTAACCTTTTTATCTTGCTCCTTAGCTCTCTTCTTCAGCTCAGCCTCCACTATCTCATAGAACTCTGTCTCCGTGCGCGTTGCTCGCTCCTCGGCGCTCTCCTCTCCTTCGCCCTCCTTGGTGTCCTCCTCCTTGCTCTGCTCTGAGCGGCTGCGCTCCTTCAGACGCATCTCACGGTGGCGCGCCTCCAAGATCTTCTCCCGTTTGGTCTCCCGCTCAAACATCTGACCAAAGACACACACAGGGTCAATTCAATAGTACAGATAGGTGAGGAGCGAAAAGAGTAGAATAGAGCTGGGCAGGGGTAACCTATGGTCAATGTCACGCCACAATGATCTGGGACCAGGCTAGGGCAGAGATGGATGTTCTGGGGTAGAGGGTGTCTCTCACCGCAGTGGCCAGGGCCTTCTCGTTCCTCTGAAGGGTACACAGCCCTGGGGAGATTTCCAGCAGGGTGGCAGTGCCCAGCTGAGACCCACAGGCCAGGAAGCGCCCGTTATCCTGCACCCGCAGGCTGTACAGAGCCTCATCACACACCTAGAATACAATATAACTTAATTGTCTATCCGAGGGCAGACATTTTCTTTGGCATCACCATACAAGAATTATACCAGCGATAACAACCCAACACAACAAAATGGGGTTTCACAGGGTCATTTAGGCCTGGCAGGTGTTGTGTGAAGGCTGGACGAGGTGTTTTGAGAATATAGACAGGTGTGGAAGGGACATACTTTCAGACTGAGGGTGGGGTCGTTCTGTTTGAAGAGGAAGTCCCACACGTCTAGCGTCCCGTCCATTTTGACGGTGAAGAATACAGAGGGCCGTATTGGACTCCAGCAGCCGTCTGACAGATAGGCCATATGGTATCTATGGCAACCAACAGAGGTCATTTTACATTAGGTCAATATTACAAGAGGGGAGTTGTTTGCCAAATCCCTGCTTATGTGTATTAGAACCGAAAAAGAGTGTTATGAATCTATCTGTGAAGTAGCTATATCATCTACTTTATGTTTCAGAGGGACCCTTTACTTTGTCCACATGATGGACGACTCCTTGATGTCTTCGGACCAGATGCGGGCTGTCCAATCGGCTACGGTCAGGAAGTTCTTGGGGAAGAACGGGTTCCTTTGCAGGGCGTAGACTGGGCCATGATGACCGCTGTACGTACACACTATCTTCTCTGCCGGGGTCTTGGCCTTCCGGTTACAGGAGACCACCAGCCCTTGCTCTGTCCCCACCATAAACTTTGTGGGCTGAATAAGATTAAGAGAAAACATCATGTTCAATTTTAGATCTTCCTTTTGTACAAATAAAAATACATTATATACTGGATCTCCTACTTTCCAGTTGATACATTTACATTACATTTTAGTCATTTAGCAGACGCTCTTATCCAGAGCGACTTACAGTTAGTGAGTGCATACATTTTTCATTCTGATACAATAAGATGTTAGGCTGATCCATACTCCTAATTAATCAGTGAAACAACAGACGGATACTCCAGTCTAGAGAGCCTCCTCACCATAGTGGTCTCAAACTCCAGTGAGATTGCCCCCAGGGCATTGTCCAGGTTGCCCTTCTTGTTGGGGTCCAGTACCAGCCTCTCTGTAGGCTCGCTCATCTTACGGATGTCCCACCACAGCACCTTTTAGACAGAGACCAGGAGTCAACTCGGGGCCGGTCAGTCACAGTCTACTTGCCTTCAATAGACGTATTATTACATAACTTCTGGCTGCGGCCAAATGGCAGTTTAAGGTCAGAGAAAGTATACCTGTCCCGGACCAAGAGTATCAGACTTCACTGCCCATGAGAGTTTTGTGCCTCCCTGGCCCATTGTGCCTGCTTGGCTTGAGAAAGGGCTAAGGTGACAAAGGCCTTTATTGCTTCTATTGGAGGCGTGGCTCACCTGGCCGTCCGTAGACGCAGAGAAGGTATCGGTTCCAGTCTTTGACTGCAACCAGATGACTTTGTAGACCGGGTCTCTGTGGCTGTGCTCTATTGTGGACATTTCCACCGGCTGGCTCCCCTTGCGAGTGTCCCAATAAGCTGCTCAGACAAATACATTTGACTTAGTGTACATTCACAAACACACATGCACGCGCACACACACACACACACAAGGGTTGGGGTCAATTCCATTTTAATTCCAGACAATTCAGGAAGTACACTGAAATCCCATTTCTCTTCAATTAGGAACATTTGGCATTGGAATTTGGTTTACTTTCCGAATTGACTGGAATTTAAATGGAATTGAACCCAACTCTTACACAGGCACATATAACAATAACACACAATTGAATTTCTGAATTTCATATTGAACTGTCAGAGCTTGAACAATATCCTGAGGGAATATACTTCAATGTACAACTAAGAGAGCATCCGGTCAAACCCATCCAGACCTTGGACTTATATCACTCAAAGCATTTTGACATTTACAACAGAAAAACAAAATATTAACTTTAAACAGTAAGACCTTGAGGTAATTGGGACTAATAGATGAAAGACTGTCTGAGAGGAAGACAATGACTTGACCATACAATGTTCTGTGCACTGTACAGGAAACTCCGGACATTGCCTCCGAGCTGACATGAAGCATGATACTTTCTGGGGAATAAAAGGAGAGAACACTGTGCTGTTGAAGGACCCACCGATCTGGCCATTGTAGCTGCCTCCGACCAGGATGTGAGAGTCTTTGGGGTTGTACTCCAGACAGACCAGTAGAGAGACAGGTTTCAGGGTCATCTCTGGCTTATTAGGATTCTCTGAAGAGGCAAGAGGCAACACACGGGATTCAATTGATTACTAGACTTCGTAGTCTACTTTGACTTTCTGAACGACCAATTAAGGTGGAAAATGTGTTAGTCTCACTGCTACAGCTATTGCAAAAATAGTCACTCTGTTAGAAAGAAAAATATAAAATGAAAGATCCTAATGTTTGTCCCGTCAATAAATCTACCAGATTTTAGTCTCACTGCAATGATAGTCACTCTGTTTGTCCCGTTAATAAATCTAGCAGATTTACGCAGAAACAGAGTGCTCCTTTTACTTTGTTCTGCCTGATAGTCACCAGTTGAATCCTGGGTAAGGAATGTTTTATGGATAAATGAAAGAGACGTTTGAGTCTAATAGCTAAGGTCACAAAAAAAAGGAAGGAAGTATTACACCTACCAATGTCCCATATATATGAGTCATAGCTCATGTCTTGAGAGATGTTCTGGAACCCCAGTGAGGAGTAGGCTACAGCCAGTTTACAGCTGCCATCGGGATGCCAGGACAGACAGGTGGCAGTGCGCTTTATCTCGTTCGGGTCTCTGGATGATCAAAACACAAAAGAGATTTAAAACCACTTAGCCAAACTTTTTCAGTGGGGACCCTATTTTTTCCACCAGAATTTCTGGGGACCCCATTTTTTTCATAATTTCTAGCGACTCCACCGCACCCCAAATCTAATGAGACAACCTTAAAAATCGGTAAATTTATATTTTTACATCAACAAATAACTTTCAATTCATTATATTTTCAAAATGAAAACAAACCAATACATGTAATTAAAAATCAATAAAAATTAAATATTATATTTCTGAAAAAGGTTGTTATATTGTCCCATACAATAATCTGTACTCTTATTTTTTTGTTCCCTCAAAAAAATGTTTTAACACTGAATACCGACTTTGAATACCACTAACTTAGAGGGACACCAGACACTGGTAATATAGCCTTTAATAACAATAGCATAATTCATGTAATCTATGTGGACAACCATTGTTGTTGTTATGCAAGTGTAACACTGTTGAACGATAGGTTAATAGATGTCAGGGATGCACCTGAAAACGTTGATGGTTTTGGCAGAGGGCTGCTCCTCTGACTCCTCCACCACCTCCTCCTCTTCAAAGTACTCCTGGTAGATGTTGATGGCATTGTTCTGCTTGATGCAATGCTCCATGTTCTGTGTTAGAACGGGAGGAACAGAGTAGGGCTCTGATCAGAGATGGAAAGGAACACTCCTGTTATTCTCCATCTCTCCCTTTCAGAACTCTGGGACAATGTAGATTTAGGGCCAGTTAAAACCCCTACTCTGGGGTAATGTAGATTTAGGGACAGTTAACACCCCTACTCTTATGATAAGTGCCATGGGATTCTTAGTGACCACAGAGTCAGGACACCCGTTGAACGTCCCATCCGAAAGACAGCAACCTACACAGGGCAATGTTTTTTACCAGAGGAAAGAGTGCCTCCTACTGACCCTCCAACACCATTTCCAGGAGCATCTGGTCTCCCATCCAGGGACCGACCAGGACCAACCCTGCTTAGCTTCAGAGGCAAGCCAGCAGTGGGATGCAGGGTGGTATGCTGCTGTAGGATGTATTATTTATTTATGGTAAAATGAATAAATGTCATACACTAGAGACTAATTCAATAAAATGATATAGAAAACTATATGACCCCGGGCCATGTCGAGGCTACTTAACGGACTGTGATGTCTGACGCACTCACACTGCCCAGCTGCATGATGTCTGACACACTCACACTGCCCAGCTGCATGACATCTGACACACTCACACTGCCCAGCTGCATGACGTCTGACACACTCACACTGCCCAGCTGCATGACATCTGACACACTCACACTGCCCAGCTGCATGACATCTGACACACTCACACTGCCCAGCTGCATGACGTCTGACACACTCACACTGCCCAGCTGCATGATGTCTGACACACTCACACTGCCCAGCTGCATGACGTCTGACACACTCACACTGCCCAGCTGCATGACATCTGACACACTCACACTGCCCAGCTGCATGACGTCTGACACACTCACACTGCCCAGCTGCATGACATCTGACACACTCACACTGCCCAGCTGCATGACGTCTGACACACTCACACTGCCCAGCTGCATGACGTCTGACACACTCACACTGCCCAGCTGCATGACATCTGACACACTCACACTGCCCAGCTGCATGACGTCTGACACACTCACACTGCCCAGCTGCATGATGTCTGACACACTCACACTGCCCAGCTGCATGATGTCTGACACACTCACACTGCCCAGCTGCATGACATCTGACACACTCACACTGCCCAGCTGCATGACATCTGACACACTCACACTGCCCAGCTGCATGACATCTGACACACTCACACTGCCCAGCTGCATGACATCTGACACACTCACACTGCCCAGCTGCATGATCTGACACACTCACACTGCCCAGCTGCATGACATCTGACACACTCACACTGCCCAGCTGCATGACGTCTGACACACTCACACTGCCCAGCTGCATGACATCTGACACACTCACACTGCCCAGCTGCATGACATCTGACACACTCACACTGCCCAGCTGCATGACATCTGACACACTCACACTGCCCAGCTGCATGACATCTGACACACTCACACTGCCCAGCTGCATGATCTGACACACTCACACTGCCCAGCTGCATGATGGTGCTGAAATAAAGCTCGTCTTTCTCCACTTTCTTCCTGAAGCGGATGGTCTGCTCCATCTCCTGAGGGTTGACGTCCTTGGGCCAGCCTCCCTCCACATGGTTTATCCCCCTGGTGTCCGACTCAAAGCGCTCTGTGTTCACCTATAAAAGACAAGAGCCAGGCAGGTCAGGCAGGATTCAGCACAAAAGGCTGTAGTGGCCTAGTTACAGACAGACAGTTTGAATAAATACTGTTGGAGTGAAATGTACATAAGCTGCCAGATGCTGCTTATTATCTCATAATGATGCAGAAGCTGTTTTTATCTAACACAAACTTTGCTGATATCATGACACTCAACATACCCAATTAAAATTGGTGTGTGTTGCTCAAGTCTTGTGAAATGTTTAGGTTGTGTAATAAATTATAATACACATAACAGGTAATGATCAAATATATTTACTTGTCGTCCATTTTTATGTTACAGGTGACAGGTTGTTAGTCTACAATGCTCACCTCATGCTCGGACATCTCTTGTGTGCACTGTATGGGAACATCGCAAGGGTCTCTCTCAATGAAGCTGGATGCCAGAGAAGGATCAGGGAGGATGTCCACATGCAACTCAGCAGACCGATCAGAGAAATTACACTGTCGCCCAAACTCGTTGCGCTTCTTGGTGTACACATGAACTATCTCCATTGTGAGTGCTGTCGGGACATAGATATGAGAGAGAGGTTTGATTCAGGTTAGACTATGGGCCTACATGTTTATCTACCAACACAAGTCAAGGATTAATTAACCTGATGATGGGAATTAACACAAACAATAGAAAAGGTGTAGTGACTGGATGAATATTACACTTTACAGGGACACAGGGTAACTGCCCTTCATGAAAATAATTAACCATATTCAAAAGGGGAGGGGAGGTTACCTGAGTTACCACATTACAAGAGTTATCTATTAGTAGAGAAGTGCAGTCCTCAGTGTACTAACGTTGTCGTTAGCTAGCTAACGTTTGTCAGCCTGAAGATGCATGGGTAGCTAGCTAGATAACGTTAATCAATCATCACTTGAGCCAGAGTATCATGTAGCTAGCTAGCTAAATTAGCTAACATGGCATTCTTATTGTTTTGAATGTTCAAATCAAACGACTGTCAATAAACTGAAATTATAATGCAATATTCCTACCTTTCCCCTTGAGGATACAAGATAATGAAATGAAGCGTCAAAACTCCCGGCCGTATCCTCAAATGTTAGGATTTCCCAAAACCAGCAGTAGTTTACCGTATCCTAGCAACACATCCCCCGCCCCGTCTGATAGGACCGCCCACATTAGGAGAGTCAGTGGACCAAAGCCTGCTCTGCACAGGAGCTCGGCAGCCCATAGTCATTTGTCTAACCATGCAATTACATTACAATTACTAACCATTTACATTTACATTACATTTACGTCATTTAGCAGACGCTCTTATCCAGAGCGACTTACAAATAGCATTTAAGTCATTTAATTGAAGCCCACACCTGTGTGACTAACCAAGTCGTCATAACATTTACCCAAGGCTTGTGGTCTTTCACATCCACTTAATTATGCAGTGGTTAGAGGCATTGTCACAGTGAGGTTAGTCACACTTTCATTTTTGGACTTAAAAAATAAGTGCACAAAGCATTAACAGAATGAAGATACACCAAACACATGAGAATATTAGCTACTCAAAAGTATTTTATTAACTCACAACTACACCCTATCTCTGAGGATACATACAAATCAATCTCCACTCTCAATGGTTGTAGACGGTGCTACTTCACATGGACTCAAACTGAAAAATAAACCAACATAAAATAATATAACAAAACCCTATAGAATTAAACATTAACTGACGATAGATTAAAACAGAATGTTCATTAAGGGTATGATTATATGTTTTCTCAAAATGGAAGACAATTATCATTAGTCAGGTTAAAACCGCTATCTGTCTGAACACAATTTCTCCCACCATGAGTTTTCAGCAGCTTCCAAGTCATGACCAAAACTCAAGTTGATATGGTAATATTACAATATACATACAACTGAATGCCATCATTTAACAATGGCCTCTGAAAAAACATCTGATATTGTGGCAGAGCAACTTTCTCCTAAGGGCTTTATTGGTTTAAACCATGCTACAGATATCACACAACCCGTGGCACATTAGAACACCCTAAAATAAAATATGAATACTCCAAAATAAGACAATATGTTATCGTATAAGTTATATACAAAAGTCAAGTTGGTCTGAAACAGACACTACAGTGTATACGTGCTTCAGTTACTGTATGTGTACAAATTATATTTGTAACATGTCTTAGTCTGTTCAAATGATAAAATCCTGTGTCAGACACTGTGCAGGACTTTCTGAATGGAGAAAAGCACGCAACACAGAGCGGTATCTGTGAAAGATCAGTGTAGGGCATAGTGTAGGGAGGGCATAGTGTAGGGAGGGTATAGTGTAGGGCATAGTGTAGGGAGGGCATAGTGTAGGGAGGGTATAGTGTAGGGCATAGTGTAGGGAGGGCATAGTGTAGGGAGGGTATAGTGTAGGGCATAGTGTAGGGCAGGGTTCTTCAATTCCGGTCCTGGAGGGCCGAAACACTTCTGTTTTTTATTTCTACCTGGTAGTTAATTGCACTCACCTGGTGTCCCAGGTCTGAATTAGCCCCTGATTAGAAGGAGAGGATGAAAAACAGAGGTGTTTCGGCCCTCCAGGACCGGAATTGAAGAACCCTGGTGTAGGGTATAGTGTAGGGTATAGTGTAGGGCATAGTGTTGGGAGGGTATAGTGTAGGGAGGGTATAGTGTAGGGCATAGTGTAGGGCATAGTGTTGGGAGGGTATAGTGTAGGGCATAGTGTTAGGGAGGGTATAGTGTAGGGCATAGTGTAGGGCATAGTGTAGGGAGGGTATAGTGTAGGGCATAGTGTAGGGCATAGTGTTGGGAGGGTATAGTGTAGGGCATAGTGTAGGGAGGGTATAGTGTAGGGAGGGTATAGTGTAGGGCATAGTGTAGGGAGGGTATAGTGTAGGGAGGGTATAGTGTAGGGCATAGTGTAGGGAGGGTATAGTGTAGGGCATACTGTAGGGCATATTGTTGGGAGGGTATAGTGTAGGGCATAGTGTAGGGCATAGTGTAGGGTATAGTGTAGGGCATAGTGTAGGGTATAGTGTAGGGCATAGTGTAGGGAGGGTATAGTGTAGGGCATAGTGTAGGACATAGTGTAGGGTATAGTGTAGGGAGGGTATAGTGTAGGGCATAGTGTAGGGTATAGTGTAGGGCATAGTGTAGGACATAGTGGAGGGTATAGTGGAGGGTATAGTGTAGGGCATAGTGTAGGGTATAGTGTAGGGTATAGTGTAGGGCATAGTGTAAGGCATAGTGTAGGACATAGTGTAGGGTATAGTGTAGGGCAGTGTTGGGCCACTATCCCAGGCCCTACCATACAGTCAGGGTTGGGTTTGTGCTTCACAAGGTTTAGGTCTGAGGTGTATGTGGAAACATAGAACTACTATTATGGTATATACAGTATGTGTCGTCTGTAGTCATGGAGGAAAAGGGAGGACCCTTCGACAGTGGACACTTTCCAGTTCTAAGAGTGTGAATGTCATTTCTGATGTCCTTGTTCTTGGCCAATTTCATCAAATACAAATGGGTTGGAGTATCAAGTATCAACACTCATAATATGGTCCCTCCTTTTGACTTAACAGTCATAGTATGGTCCCTCCTTGTGACTTAACAGTCATAGTATGGTCCCTCCTTGTGACTTAACAGTCATAGTATGGTCCCTCCTTGTGACTTAACAGTCATAGTATGGTCCCTCCTTGTGACTTAACAGTCATAGTATGGTCCCTTCTTGTGACTTAACAGTCATAGTATGGTCCCTCCTTGTGACTTAACAGTCATAGTCCTACAGTCGCTATTACTGAGAATAGGGAGAGGTTATAGGCACAAAAACATATCTGAACAATAGTATGAAAAATGTATGCACTCACTAACTGTAAGTCGCTCTGGATAAGACTGTCTGCTAAATGACTAAAATGTAAAATGTAGATCATTATAAAAGTCATTTCCTGTAAAAGTTGCTATTGTCTCGTCGGAGTGAATGAATCAAGCTAGTGTTTTTAAAATAAATCATTATTATTACCATTTCCATTTTCATATATTTTTTTCAACAGTACTACACAAAGAGCTGGGAAATACGAGGACTCACATACTGAATTGGTAGCCTAAGGACCTGTTGAAAGTTTGATGTCATAGGTCAAATGAAATTAAAATAAAAAATGTGATAATTTCTCTATCTTACATTTTCAAAAGTCTCGCCTAAAACAAATGCAGCAGACAAAGCAAAAGATTGGAATCTAAAGCTTTTAGAAAAGTGACATGTTATTTCCAAGATAACTTAGGCAGAAAGAAATGTGACTACACCTTCAGACAGTGGACACAACATGCTATGTGGAATAGTAGGGCTTTGTATTGTTCCAGACAGCGAGGGAGAACTGGAACACAGAAATAGAATGAATAGAATCACACAATAGAATCATTCTAATTCTATGGGCTGGAGTCATGGTGACTAAGACATAGACACTGGGCTCTGGGGTTTGGGATGGGACGACTGTGTGTGTGACACTTTTCCTCATATCAGGCCTTGGTCCAGTCCAGTGAGTTGGGCGAGGAGAGGGTCCGTGCAGAAGCCACAAAGTCACATACTGCTGGAGTAGTTGTGTGTGTGTGTGTGTGTGTGTGTGTGTGTGTGTGTGTTCGCCCGTTTGAGAAACCTCTTGGAGATGGCAGAGATGAAAGAGAGGAGAGAGGGCGGGAGGAGCAGCTCTATGCCTGGAAATCATTCCCAAAGTGTCTGATCTGGTCCTCAGTCATGGACAGGTATGTAGCCCTCATGCTGGGGGAGTACTGTGGGAAACAGAATATCAAAGGACACAATTAGAGACAACACCAGGTAACATATAGTGAACAACAACAGTATAGAAGAACACAGGACTCTTTCAGGACAGTATTTAGCCAGCTAGACAGGAAGGAAGGGGAGGTGGGTGAAGACAATAGGTGGCTAATCCAAGCATTCTAACACATCAGTTGAGGGGACTGGGAGTCAGACAACACTGTAGGCCCCTCCTTATGGACCAAGCCTTCTCAGACAGTAGGTGAAACAGGGAGAATACCATGACTCTAGAATTCTATATCACCAGACCACGCATGACGACAAGCCTGACGCTCAGCACCTCATGGCGGTAACAGCTATAGAATTACACAGAGGGAAGTTTTACGGCATGCACACATAGGGCTGCCGATGTGTCTCTGAAAACATGTCCCAACCCAGGGAGGAGACGTGAGGATAGGGTACACCACCACACTCCCAACAGCGGGGGGAGACTGGGTCAAACATACAACTGGAATGATGACGGTGAGGATGATGATGTCATGAGGATGATGTCATCAACAGTAAGGTTGGTAGTTCAAAGCCATGCCAGATGTGAAATAGAAAACACAGTACCAAAATGAAAATGGAGGTATATAAAAAGGAGATGATTTGAAATAAAGGCAAGGGGGAAGCAACTGGGAGTCTATCTTATCCTTCAGACAACAGAGAGGTCGAAAGACGAGCAGAAAACAACTTACTCCGTTTCTAAATGGCTGAGCGTAAACCTCCAAAAGTTGATTAAAAAAAGAAGAAAGAAATGAAATACAAACAAACACATAAACAACGAACAAACAAATAAACAATATAAAATAAGCTGTTAGCTGAAAACGCCCCGCAGAAGTATGTCCAGAGGACACCACATGACATTATCAGTATGATCATCATAGCCTCTTGGCGGTGGTAGAGAGATTGGGCAGGGAAAACACCGAGGTAGATACGGTATAACAATTAATTATGCATCCCAAATGGCACCCTATTCCCTATATAGTCCACTGCTTTTGACAGGAGCCCTATGGGTGCCATTTGGGACTCAGCATTAGTCTCAGGTAATAAACCTTACATTCAGTCAACTATAAAAACGTAATCCCATGTTAGATTTAAACAGACTCAGATGCATAAGGTATGTCTCTTTATGAAATTCCATTAGGCACAGCAGGCCTTTGAAAGGAGACAGGAGAGGCCAATGGATCTAAATAGCTGCCATTACGAGGCCTCAAAGGGAAGTGAATGTATCATGAGGACCAGGGAGAGAGAGAGAGAGAGAGAGAGAGAGAGAGAGAGAGAGAGATAGAGAGAGAGAGAGAGAGAGAGAGCCCCCGCGCCTCTCCTCCTCTCTCGCTCTCGGCTCTCTCTCTCGAGCGCTCTCCCTCTCTCTCTCGCTCTCGCGTGAGCGCGCGCGCTCTCTCTCGTGCTCTACTTCTGCGTCTCTTGCTCGTCTTGCGATGCCTCTCTGTCTTCTCTCTCTCCTCTCGCTTCCTCTCGCTCTCTCGTCTGCCTCTCTTCTCTCTCGCCTCGCCTCTCTCTCTCCTCTCGCTCGCTCTCTGCTCTCTGCTCTCTTCCTCTCTCCTTCCTCGCGCTCTCCTCTCTTTCCGCGCGCCCTCGCCGCGCGCGTCGCTTCTCTGCGCCGCGCTCTCTCGTTCGCTCCGCGCGCTCTCTCCGCGCTCGCGCCGCCGCGCGTCTCTCGCGCGTGCTCGCTCGCGCGCGCGCTGCGTGCGCGGCGCGCGCGCGCGCTGCCTCGCGTCGCTCGCCTCGCTCGCGTGCTCGCGCCGCGCGCGCTGCTCGCTCGCGCGCGCCGCCTCGCGCTCTCTCTCTGCTTTCCTCTCCTCGCTCGCGCCATCGCGCGTCTTCTCGCTCTCGCCCGCTCGCGCCGCGCGCGCTCTGCTCGGCTCGCGCGCTCTCGCTCGCTCGCGCGCGTCGCCGCCGCGGCTCTGCTCGCCGCGGCGCTCGCGCGCGCGCGCTCGCGCGCGCGCGCGTCGCGCTCTCGCTGCTGCTCTCCGCGCGCCGCCCAGCGCGTGCGCGCGCGCTCGGGCCGCCGTGCGCCTCGCGCTCGCGCGTGCGGCGCGCGCGCTTGTCGCTCGCGCGCGCGCGCTCCTGCTCCTCGCTCGCTCGCTCGCTCTCTCTCCGCGCCTCTCGCGCGCTCTCCGCTCGCTCGCGCGCGTCGCTGCTCTCCTCCTCGGCTCTCGGCTCGGCTCCGGCTCCGTCGCTCTCCTCGCGCGCGCCTCGCGCGCGCTCTCCGCGCGGGGGCCGCGCCTCGCGTCGCTGCCGCGCTCCCGAGCGAGAGAGAGAGAGAGTGATAGACAGACCTTTAGAGAGAAGTAAAGTGACCAACTAGGGACTAACACCTGTGAGATCTTCCCCTGGGCATTAGTCTAAATAACACGCTTCCATCTCATCTTAAATTCATGAACATGTACACTACAGAATACCCATGTTAAACTTCTCTCTCATTGTCCTATTCCTTCTGTAAAGAGTCAGCAATCTACACTTATGGTAGATAGACCGCTAAAGGCACAACGTTAGCAGAGTGCTCTCTGATATGTGATCAAAATGATGATCATGATCAAAATCCTTACTGGAAATACGTTATCATGTGGACGTCATATCTTGTGAAAAACTAACTACAACAACCATTTAAGCAACTTAAAAGTAACACTGACTTGAGCAAGTTAAGGAAGGCATCATGTAGAGAGAGCATCATATGGGGGAACTCTTTACCAGAGTTGACAGTACAAAAAGAAAATAGACAGGAAGAAGTCCTAGCGGGTCACTGAATCAGAATTAAACAACAGAACAGAAATCCTGGTGATGAGAGAAAGATAAGTATTACAATGCTGATTGACTTGATAGTATGTGGGAGAGTGGTATCAGGGTTGGGGTCAATTCAATTTCAATTTAGTCATTTCAGGAAGCATACTGAAATTTCAAACTGAAATTCCAATTCTCCTCATTGGAATTGACCCAAACCATGAGTGACATAAGTAGGACTTGGCCTCTGGGACCCAACGCACCGAAGGGGGCGGAGAGCCTCTCCCGATCAGAGGAACGTTCTCGTACCGCGGGTTCCCCCCGAACAACGCTGACTGGTTCCTGAAGAGGGAGAAAGAGAGGGGGAGAGAGAGAAAGCGTCTGCTAAACAAACATTCCCAATCACCAAACAACCAGCCAAAGCACAATAACATATCACTCTGGGCCAGTATGCCCTCTTAGCGATCATGATCATTACAGTTTACAGTTAGCTTTACTTTAGTTTCAGTATGTTCATACGTATAGCACACTAGACTGTGCATTGCTATACAGTCAACTCCAGGCCAGGGCTGGACTCACATGTACTCTGAGACGGGTGCGTTAGACACATCCTGGGCAGTCTGGACAGCAGGCGGGTGGAGGCTGCTCTGGCTCCCCACACTGCTGCTGTAGCTGCAGAAGCTGTGCATGTTGGTGGCATGGTTGGGGTTGTGGGTCGTCATGCGTCTGGGCTGAGGGTTAAACGGGTCACCCTCGTCTATATCGTCATAATCACGCTCCCTGGAGCGAAGAGAAAGAGTGGAGGTCAGCGACATAGATGATTTAGTGACTTGGTAAGGAGTACATACAGTATAAACACAACGGATGTACACACTATGCTTATATATATATATATATATATATATATATATATATATATATATATATATATATACACATACTCTGGTTCTATATATATACTCTGGTTCTATGTATATAATCTGGTTCTATATGTATACACTGGTTTTATATATATATACACATTGCTTCTATATATACACGTATATACTCTGGCTCTATATAAACTCAGCAAAAAAAGAAACGTTCTCTCAGTGTCAACTGCATATATTTTCAGCAAACTTAACATGTGTAAATATTTGTATGAACATAACAAGATTCAACAACTGAGACATAAACTGAGTTCCACAGACATGTGACTAACATAAATTGAATAATGTGTCCCTGAACAAAGGGAGTGGGGTCAAAATCAAAAGTAACAGTCAGTATCTGCTGCATTAAGTACTGCAGTGCATCTCCTCCTCATGGACTGCACCAGATTTGCCAGTTCTTGCTGTGAGATGTTACCCCACTCTTTTTTATTTCGCCTTTATTTAACCAGGTAAGCACCTGCAAGTTCCCAGACATTTCTGGGGGGAATGGCCCTAGCCCTCCGATCCAACAGGTCCCAGACGTGCTCAATGGGATTGAGATCCGGGCTCCTCGCAGGCCATGGCAGAACACTGACATTCCTGTCTTGCAGGAAATCACGCACAGAACGAGCAGTATGGCTGGTGGCATTGTCATGCTGGAGGGTCATGTCAGGATGAGTCTGCAGGAAGGGTACCACATGAGGGAGGAGGATGTCTTCCCTGTAACGCACAGCGTTGAGATTGCCTGCAATGACAACAAACTCAGTCTGATGATGCTGTGACACACCGCCCCAGTCCATGACGGACCCTCCACCTCCAAATCGATCCTGCTCCAGAGTACAGGCCTCGGTGTAACGCTCATTCCTTCGACGATAAACGCGAATCCGACCATCACCCCTGGTGAGACAAAACCGCGACTCGTCAGTGAAGAGCACTTTTTGCCAGTCCTGTCTGGTCCAGCGACGGTGGGTTTGTGCCCATAGGCGACGTTGTTGCCGGTGATGTCTGGTGAGGACCTGCCTTACAACAGGCCTACAAGCCCTCAGTCCAGCCTCTCTCAGCCTAATGCGGACAGTCTGAGCACTGATGGAGGGATTGCGCGTTCCTGGTGTAACTCGGGCAGTTGTTGTTGCCATCCTGTACCTGTCCCGCAGGTGTGATGTTCGGATGTACCGATCCTGTGCAGGTGTTGCTAAACGTGGTCTGCCACGGCGAGGACGATCAGCTGTCCGTCCTGTCTCCCTGTAGCGCTGTCTTAGGCATCTCACAGTACGGACATTGCAATTTATTGCCCTGGCCACATCTGCAGTCCTCATGCCTCCTTGCAGCATGCCTAAGGCACGTTCATGCAGATGAGCAGGGACCCTGGGCATCTTTCTTTTGGTGTTTTTCAAGTTTTCATAACTGTGACCTTAATTGCCTACCGTCTGTAAGCTGTTAGTGTCTTAACGACCGTTCCACAGGTGCATGTTCATTAATTGTTTATGGTTCATTGAACAAGCATGGGAAACAGTGTTTAACCCCTTACAATGATCTGTGAAGTTATTTGGATTTTTACAAATTATCTTGAAAGACAGGGTCCTGAAAAAGGGACGTTTCTTTTTTTTGCTGAGTTTATATACACTCTGGTTCTATATATACATTTACATTTTACATTTTAGTCATTTAGCAGACGCGCTTATCCAGAGCGACTTACAGTTAGTGAGTGCATACATAATTTTTTTATTTTTTCATACTGGCCACCCGTGGGAATCGAACCCACAACCCTGGCGTTGCAAACGCCATGCTCTACCAACTGAGCTATATCCCTGCCGGCCATTCCCTCCCCTACCCTGGACGACGCTGGGCCAATTGTGCGCCGCCCCATGGGTCTCCCGGTCGCAGCCGGCTATGACAGAGCCTGGATACGAACCAGGATCTCTAGTGATGCAGTGCCTTAGACCACTGCGCCACTCGGGAACGCCACACTCTGGTTCTATATATATACACACACTCTGGTTCTATATATATATATATATTATTATATATACAGTACCAGTCAAAAGTTTGTCATTCTTTTTTTACTATTTTCAACATTGTAGAATAATAGTGAAGCCATCAAAACTATGAAATAACACATATGGAATCATGTAGTAACCAAGAAAATATATTTTATATTTGAGATTCTTCAAATAGCCACCCTTTGCCTTGACGACAGCTTTGCACACTCTTGGCATTCTCTCAACCAGCTTCACCTGGAATGCTTTTCCAACAGTCTTGAAGGAGTTCCCACATATGCTGAGCACTTGTTGGCTGCACTTGTTGGTTTTCTTTAGAAAACAAGGACATTTCTAAGTGACCCCAATGGTAGTGTGTGTGTATATATATATATATATATATATATATATATATACATATATATACACACTACCGTTCAAAAGTTTGGGGTCACTTAGAAATGACCTTGTTTTCGAAAGAAAAGCATTTTTTTTGTCCATTAAAATAACATCAAATTGATCAGAAAGACAGTGTAGACATTGATAATGTTGTAAATGGCTATTGTAGCTGGAAACGGCTGTTTTTTTAATGGAATATCTACATAGGCGTACAGAGGCCCATTATCAGCAACCATCAGTCCTGTGTTCCAATGGCACGTTGTGTTTGCTAATATAAGTTGATCATTTTAAAAGGCTAATTGATCATTCGAAAACCCTTTTGCAATTATGTTAGCACAGCTAAAAACTGTTGTGGTGATTAAAGAAGCAATAAAACTGGCCTTCTTGAGACTAGTTCAGTATCTGGAGCATCAGCAATTGTGGGTTCGATTAATGCTCAAAATGTCCGGAAAAAAATAACTTTCTTCTGAAACTTGTCAGTCTATTCTTGTTCTGAGAAATTAAGGCTATTCCATGCGAGAAATTGCCAAGAAACTGAAGATCTCGTACAACGCTGTGTACTACTTACTACCTTCACAGAACAGCGCAAACTGGCTCTAACCAGAATAGAAAGAGGAGTGGGAGGCCCGGTGCACAACTGAGCAAGAGGACAAATACATTAGAGTGTGTAGTTTGAGAAACAGACGCCTCACAGGTCCTCAACTGGCAGCTTCATTAAATAGTACCCGCAAAACACCCGTCTCAACGTCAACAGTGAAGAGGCGACTCCGGGATGATGACTTTCTAGGCAGAGTTGCAAAGAAAAAGCCATATCTGAGACTGGCTAATAAAAAGAAAAGATTAAGATGGGCAAAAGAACACAGACAGTGGACAGAGGAAGATTGGAAAAAAGTGTTATGGACAGACGAATCGAAGTTTGAGGTGTTCGGATCACAAAGAAGAACATTTGTGAGACGCAGACCAAATGAAAAGATGCTGGAGGAGTGCTTGATGCCATCTGTCAAGCATGATGGAGGCAATGTGATGGTCTGGGGGTGCTTTGGTGGTGGTAAAGTGGGGGATTTGTACAGGGTAAAAGGGATCTTGAAGAAGGAAGGCTATCACTCCATTTTGCAAGCGCCCTGTGGACGGCGCTTGATTGGAGCCAATTTCCTCCTACAACAGGACAATGACCCAAAGCACAGCTTCAAACTATGCAAGAACTATTTAGGGAAGAAGCAGTCAGCTGGTATTCTGTCTATAATGGAGTGGCCAGCACAGTCACCGGATCTCAAACCTATTGAGCTGTTGTGGGATCAGCTTGACCGTATGGTACGGTACGTAAGAAGTGCCCATCAAGCCAATCCAACTTGTGGGAGGTGCTTCAGGAAGCATGGGGTGAAATCTCTTCAGATTACCACAACAAATTGACAACTAGAATGCCAAAGGTCTGCAAGGCTGTAATTGCTGCAAATTGAGGATTTTTTGCCGAAAGCAAAGTTTGAAGGACACAATTATTATTTCTATTAAACATAATTATTTCTAACCTTGTCAATGACTACATTTCCTATGCATTTTGCTATATTTCCTATTAAAACTAATTTCATGTATGTTTTCATGGAAAACAAGGACATTTCTAAGTGACCCCAACGGTTGTGTACATATACATATATACACTCCGGTTCTATAAAAGGGTGATAGAGAGAAAGAGAGTGACTGATTCTTACTAGCGCTGGGTTTGCTATTCTCGTGATCATGATTGTGATATGTGGTTGTTTTACCTACTTTAGTTGAATGCATTGATTGTAAACTGCTCTGGATAAGAGTGTCTGCTAAACGACTAACGTTTTTATGTAAATGTCAAATGAAAGACTAAATGGCAGGGCCCCCCCTGACTCCCCCCCCCCCCTGACCTGCTGGCGATATGTGTCCATGCCCGGGGAATGGCACACAGCATGGCACAGAAGGCACAAATTGCCAGGATGGAGAAGAGGCAGAGGTAGAGCAGGCCCTCTACCCCGTCATAACACACACCGATCAGCGCATCCAGGTAGTCCTACAGCGTGGAGGGAGGAAACACACACACACACACACACATTAGCAGAGAGAAGACAATGTTCCCAGTCTGTCTGAGACATGTTGTGAAGTAATATACAGTATATATAATATGATATAATAACAATAATAATAAATGCCATTTAGCAGAAGTCATGCAAACATTTGACGCAAGCGTGGCCCCGGGAATCAAACCCACAATCCTGGCGTTCCATATGTACAGTTGAAGTCGGAAGTTTAAATACACCTTAGCCAAATACATTTAAACTCAGTTTTCAATTCCTGACATTTAATCCTAGTAAAAATTCCCTGTCTTAGGTCAGTTAGGATCGCCACTTTATTTTAAGAATGTGAAATGTCAGAATAATAGTAGAGAGAATGATTTATTTCAGCTTTTATTTATTTCATCACATTCCCAGTGGGTCAGACTCAATTAGTATTTGGTAGCATTGCCTTTAAATTGTTTAACTTGGGTCAAACGTTTCGGTTAGCCTTCCACAAGCTTCCCACAATAAGTTGGGTGAATTTTGGCCCATTCCTCCTGACAGAGCTGGTGTAACTGAGTCAGGTTTGTAGGCCTCCTTGCTCGCACACGCTTTTTCAGTTCTGCCCACAAATGTTCTATAGGATTGAGGTCAGGGCTTTGTGATGGTCACACCAATACCTTGACTTTGTTGTCCTTAAGCCATTTTGCCACAACTTTGGAAGTATGCTTGGGGTCCTTGTCCATTTGGAAGACCCATTTTCGACCAAGCTTTAACTTCCTGACTGACGTCTTGAGATGTTGTTTCAATATATGCACATCATTTTCCTTCCTCATGATGCCATTTATTTTGTGAAGTGCACCAGTCCCTCCTGCAGCAAAGCACCCCCACAGCATGATGCTTCCACCCCCGTGCTTCACGGTTGGGATGGTGTTCTTTGGCTTGCATAACGATGGTCATTATGGCCAAACAGTTCTATTTTTGTTTCATCAGACCAGAGGACTTTTCTCCAAAAAGTATGATCTTTGGTCCCATGTGCAGTTGCAAACCGTAGTCTGGCTTTTTTATGGCAGTTTTGGAGCAGTGGCTTCTTCCTTGCTGAGAGGCCTTTCAGGTTATGTCGATATAGGACTCGTTTTACTGTGGATATAGATACTTTTGTACCTGTTTCCTCCAGCATCTTCACAAGGTCCTTTGCTGTTGTTCTGGGATTGATTTGCACTTTTCGCACCAAAGTACGTTAATCTCTAGGAGACAGAACACGTCTCCTTCCTGAGCGGTGTGACGGCTGCGTGGTCCCATGGTGTTTATACTTGCGTACTATTGTTTGTACAGATGAATGTGGTACCTTCAGGCATTTGGAAATTGCTCCCAAGGATGAACCAGACTTGTGGAGGTCTCCATTCTTTTTCTGAGGTCTTTGCTGATTTCTTTAGATTTTCCCATGATGTCAATCAAGGGGGTACTGAGTTTGAAGGTAGGTCTTGAAATACATCCACAGGTACACCTCCAATTGACTCAAATGACGTCAATTAGCCTATCAGAAGCTTCTAAAGCCATGACATCATGTTCTGGAATTTTCCAAGCTGTTTAAAGGCACAGTCAACTTAGTGTATGTAAACTTCTGACCCACTGGAATTGTGATACTGTGAATTATAAGTGAAATAATCTGTCTGTAAACAATTGTTGGAAAAATTACTTGTGTCATGCACAAAGTAGATGTCCTAACCGACTTGCCAAAACTATAGTTTGTTAACAAGAAATTTGTGGAGTGGTTGAAAAAGGAGTTTTAATGACTCCAACCTAAGTGTATGTAAACTTCAGACTTCAACTGTACTGGGCAGAGTCACTATCCTGTAGAACGCTGATAGTGCTGCCATGCATTGGGATTCAGTAGTGTACTATTGTACCCAACGATGTAAACATGTCTGTCTACGTGACTGTACCTTGTTGAGTCCTCTACAGTCCAGCAGGGCAGTTAGCTGGTGGAGGCTAGCCTCTGAGGAGTTGAGTAGGTGCTGAATGCTCAGTAGGTCTCTCTGTGGAGAAAAACAAGCGCAGGATTCAGTACTCATAACATTTAACGCTTACACGGATGGACAGACACACTATACCACAGGGAAATGAAACACTGACCTCGGCGGTAGGGAAGAGAGGCACAGCGAACTGCAGCAGGCCCTGTATCTGTATCTGCATGGTGGTCAGAGACCTCTGGAAGATGGTCAGAGACTGCAAACACACACACACACAAAACAACATGTCAACTTCTGGGTATTGTAATTATTCATACACTAGTGGGCTTGCCAGTTTAGCTTTTGTTCAGCAGAGGGCGACAAAAGCCCAATCATTAACAGCAAGTCAGTCATCCACCAGAATCTGGTCGCTCTGTCTGTGCGCTCCACCCCAGAACAGCCAGTAGACTGGGAACCTCATGAATTTACCCCTAAATTGTATCTAACAAATTTTAAGAGCGTAGGCTGATCCCAGAGCTGATCTTACTTCTGGCCGTAGTGTGAACCTTATGACTCAAACATTTAAATCATCAAACGACATCTAAATCAAAACAGTGTTCCCAACCATTACAAAATAGACTGGGGCAATAAGTGCCCACTGGCATAGACAGTCCTTAATTGAAGCAAGACAGTGAATTACCACAAACCAGTAACCATAGCAGCAGCCATCATTCATCTCCTACCATCTAAAATGTTCATTTAGTCTCGGTAGCATGTCTACGATCCAATAACTCACCTACAGAGCAGTAGTGAGGTACAAGGGCAGGCATAGCAGAAGACACAGTACTGACAGGTTTAGTGCTCTTGAATAGATAATATGTTAAGGTGCTTCAATGTATTAATGTATTACAAAATATACAATGTTGCAATTTACAGGTAGGCTGGAAATACCCAACATCTGGGACACAGGAGTCAGGGAAGTGTGTGTGTCTCAGTGAGCGATCTCTGTTCTTCTGTGCTCAGGTGTGTTCTGACTGAGTTGGTTAACAGACTGGGTAACGCTTGCCTGCACTCTGTTACTGCATTCTATTGATCCTTAGGTTCATGTCTACAAGCACAGAGTATTGATCCTTAGGTTCATGTTTACAAGCACAGAGTATTGATCCTTAGGTTAATGTCTACAAGCACAGAGTATTGATCCTTAGGGGCATGTCTACAATCACAGAGTATTGATCCTTAGGTTCATGTCTACAAGCACAGAGTATTGATCCTTAGGTTCATGTCTACAAGCACAGAGTATTGATCCTTAGGTTAATGTCTACAAGCACAGAGTATTGATCTTTAGGTTCATGTCTACAAGCACAGAGTATTGATCCTTAGGTGTATGTCTACAAGCACATCATAATAGAAGCTGAAGTCCACTGGGTTATGGAGCTAGCTGAGGCTGGAGAGAGAAAGACTACTTCTCACTGCCTCTTACTGCCTGATGCCCTGACCTAAAAACCTCCTCCTGAGAGGCTTAGAGACCTTACTGAACCCCACGAGGGAGAGAGGGAGGGAGATGGAGACAGAAAGAGAAAAAGGGAGACAGAGAGGTCAAAGCAGGTATCATTGACCCGGTGCTGGTGCTGATGCTGATGAGTAGTACCTGCTGGAATGGGTTGGGGAGGGTCTGGCTGCAGTACAGGTAGTAATGCACTATATCTGTAGAGAACAGGAGACACCAACAACAAGTCAGAAAGACTCAGCAATAACATTGATCTCTTTAAGTATAATGTGATTACAGCCAGGGGTTTAACCACCTTGTAATTACAGCTTTCATTAAAGTGACATTAAAAGCATAATTTGTCTTTAACTCACCAGAACTGATCAGGTCCTTGGTCTGGTTCATGATGAACTTGTCTGGGGTCACACAGAAGTCACTGGTGCTCTGAACACAAGAAGAAGAGGCAAAACTACTGTCAAAGTAGTCTATCAAACACGTAAGCACGCCACACACAAACACACGCGCACACAAACGAACACACGCACGCACACGCGCACGCGCGCGCACGCACACACACACACACACACACACACACACACACACACACACACACACACACACACACACACACACACACACTGTTCTTTGAACGCTAAATTACTCCTGGGTTTAACAGGAATACAGGTTCAACTAATGAGCCTCTGTTTGTGAGTACATTGTTCCATAAAGAATATAGATTGTGTGTGTGTGTGTGTGTGTGTGTGTGTGTGTGTGTATGTGTGTGTGTGTGTGTGTGTGTGTGTGTGTGTGTGTGTGTATGTGTGCGTGTGCGTGTGTGTGTGTGTGTGTGTGCAGTCTTCATACCGGCTGCTCTGCTCCATCTATAATTATTATTGTGAAGGAATTCATTATGCATTCATTTATTATGTGCCCCAGCATGAAGCCTTGAAGGTGCAGCCATCTTGCAAATGTGAGTGTTTTTTTCCCCTTCAAATGGCAGCAGTCTCCCTTCATTAAAGCATCACAACAACATCACAACAACAGCAACACACACACACACAACTCGTTTAACTGGGCCACACAACGCAGCCAGGATACAGCAGCTCATAGTTTTCTAATGAGATCTCTGCTTCCTCTTAATATAATGCAATCTCTGTCACACCGTAGTGACTACCAGTAGCTGTTGGTTTATTGGTTAGCACCACACCTGTCCTTTACTATGATTATTGTGCCAGTCACCACCCACCAGACACACACACATAGACACACACAGACACACACACAGATACACACACATACACACACAGACACACACACACACACACACACACACACACACACACACACACACACAGACACACAGATACACACACACACACAAACAGACACACACACACACACACACAGACACACACAGACACACACACACACACACACACAGATACACACACACACACACACACACACACACACACACACACTAGGTTAATGGTGGCTGATCCACTGTGTTACCAGTAGCAACCTGAGTAGCCTAATTGTTCATGTGCATTAATAATGATCTATCAGCAACCTGAGTAGCCTAATTGTTCATGTGCATTAATAATGATCTATCAGCAACCTGAGTAGCCTAATTGTTCATGTGCATTAATAATGATCTATCAGCAACCTGAGTAGCCTAATTGTTCATGTGCATTAATAATGATCTATCAGCAACCTGAGTAGCCTAATTGTTCATGTGCATTAATAATGATCTATCAGCAACCTGAGTAGCCTAATTGTATTGATCTATCAGCAACCTGAGTAGCCTAATTGTATTGATCTATCAGCAACCTGAGTAGCCTAATTGTTCATGTGCATTAGTAATGATATATCTGGCCATTGTCAGGCATGAGAATGTTAGCTCCCAGGCACAGAGAGGGGTTATTTACATTTACATTTTAGTCATTTAGCAGACGCTCTTATCCAGAGCGACTTACAGTTAGTGAGTGCATATATTATCATTTTTATTTATTTTGCATACTGGCCCCCCGTGGGAATCGAACCCACAACCCTGGCGTTGCAAACGCCATGCTCTACCAACTGAGCTACATCCCTGCCAGCCATTCCCTCCCCTACCCTGGATGACGCTGGGCCAATTGTGCACCGCCCTATGGGTCTCCCGGTCACGGCCGGCTACGACAGAGCCTGGATTCGAACCAGGATCTAGTGGCACAGCTAGCACTGCAATGCAGTGCCTTAGACCACTGCACCACTCGGGAGGGTTATAGAGTAGACACTACAAGGCTGATCCTGGATCAGCACTCCTGCTCTGACACGTTACATACCCATCATCAATGCACTGTTCTAACCCAAGATATGGAAGATGGAAGGAATCTATCCGACAATCTTGGACCAAACAAGAGAAGAGACTGGTGTAGAAGCAGGAAGTGGTACATCACAGAGTACCCTGTGATTTGTTCCAAACATCCTGACCTCAGTTTACCTCTAAACAAACCAGGCCTGTGCTTTTAGGCCAAATACAGAGTGTGTGTGTGTGTGTGTGTGTGTGTGTGTGTGTGTGTGTGTGATCAAACTCAGCATTTAAGTCTCAACCTAAACAACAGTCTAAAATAAAACATGCAATATTGACATGGAATCTTTCTGTTCTGTTGTAGCCTGCAGCTAACCCTCTGGCTTATACACTATGCATTATCCATGATCCACCGCCCCAAGTCAAATCTGGGTGGACAACAAAAAAAGAACTGAAGAAAAATGGCGTGTGGTGTAGGTTAGAGTGCAAACCTACAGGACAGTAGCTCTCCAGGAACAGGGTTAGAGTGAAAACCTACAGGACGGTAGCTCTCCAGGAACAGGGTTAGAGTGAAAACCTACAGGACAGTAGCTCTCCAGGAACAGGGTTAGAGTGAAAACCTACAGGAAGGTAGCTCTCCAGGAACAGGGTTAGAGTGAAAACCTACAGGACGGTAGCTCTCCAGGAACAGGGTTAGAGTGAAAACCTACAGGAAGGTAGCTCTCCAGGAACAGGGTTAGAGTGAAAACCTACAGGACAGTAGCTCTCCAGGAACAGGGTTAGAGTGAAAACCTACAGGACGGTAGCTCTCCAGGAACAGGGTTAGAGTGAAAACCTACAGGACAGTAGCTCTCCAGGAACAGGGTTAGAGTGAAAACCTACAGGAAGGTAGCTCTCCAGGAACAGGGTTAGAGTGAAAACCTACAGGACGGTAGCTCTCCAGGAACAGGGTTAGAGTGAAAACCTACAGGAAGGTAGCTCTCCAGGAACAGGGTTAGAGTGAAAACCTACAGGAAGGTAGCTCTCCAGGAACAGGGTTAGAGTGAAAACCTACAGGACAGTAGCTCTCCAGGAACAGGGTTAGAGTGAAAACCTACAGGACGGTAGCTCTCCAGGAACAGGGTTAGAGTGAAAACCTACAGGACAGTAGCTCTCCAGGAACAGGGTTAGAGTGAAAACCTACAGGAAGGTAGCTCTCCAGGAACAGGGTTAGAGTGAAAACCTACAGGACGGTAGCTCTCCAGGAACAGGGTTAGAGTGAAAACCTACAGGAAGGTAGCTCTCCAGGAACAGGGTTAGAGTGAAAACCTACAGGAAGGTAGCTCTCCAGGAACAGGGTTAGAGTTAAAACATACAGGACTGTAGCTCTCCAGGAACAGGGTTAGAGTGAAAACCTACAGGACGGTAGCTCTCCAGGAACAGGGTTAGAGTGAAAACCTACAGGACGGTAGCTCTCCAGCAACAGGGTTAGAGTGAAAACCTACAGGACGGTAGCTCTCCAGGAACAGGGTTGGAGTGAAAACCTACAGGAAAGTAGCTGTCCAGGAACAGGGTTAGAGTGAAAACCTACAGGACAGTAGCTCTCCGGGAACAGGGTTAGAGTGAAAACCTACAAGATGGTAGCTCTCCAGGAACAGGGTTGGAGTGGAACCTACAGGACAGTAGCTCTCCAGGAACAAGGTTGGAGTGAAAACCTACAGGACGGTAGCTCTCCAGGAACAGGGTTGGAGTGAAAACCTACAGGACGGTAGCGCTCCAGCAACAGGGTTAGAGTGAAAACCTACAGGACGGTAGCTCTCCAGGAACAGGGTTAGAGTGAAAACCTACAGGACGGTAGCTCTCCAGGAACAGGGTTGGAGTGAAAACCTACAGGACGGTAGCTCTCCAGGAACAGGGTTAGAGTGAAAACCTACAGGACGGTAGCTCTCCAGGAACAGGGTTGGAGAGCCCTGCTCTATATAGTCCACAACCTTTGACCATGGTCCATAGGGGAAAAAAAACTGTTCCTCTAGCCATCACTTTTGGAATTTTCAATAGTCCCTGACTGTCTAGCTTTGGTTTCGATGGCAGGATCTGGCTGTATGTTTGACACCCCTAGGGTTCCATTTGGAACGCAGGCCTTAGAGTCACAGTCACTCACCACAGCAGTGGCCAGGTCAGCTCCCAGAGACGCCCAGCTCAGGATCAGCGTCAGCACCCCAAACACCATCATCCTGCAGGGACACAGAGAGAGAGAACGTTAGGTATTATTACCCTGTTTATAACACACTATAATAATTATAACACTGGCCACAAAACATTCAAACTCTCAAAATGCTATAGTCAGTGTAGTCATCAAGTATGTGGTCATCAAGGATGTGATATTCAAAGATTATGTTATCATTAGTGATGGGGGGAAAAAATCGATACAGTTACATATCGGGATATTATTTTTGACGATATATAGCGTATCGTTTCGTTTTGACAATATCGCAATATTATTTTTGCGCTAGTTGGCTGCACCAAAACTCTCCATCTTCTTTTTAAATAGTGAGCCAACATGTTTTCAGCACTTTTATTTTCATGACTGATCAAAACTCGTTTTCTCATGACTCTCTCTTGTCCCTCTGCAGCAGGCATATGGTGAGCAATATGTTTAGAACATCAAATCTCAATAAAATCACAGTATCGAATCGCAATACATATCATATCAGCACCTAAGTATGGTGATAATATTGTACGGTGAGGTCCCTCAGTATGGTGATAATATTGTACGGTGAGGTCCCTCACTATGGTGATAATATTGTACGGTGAGGTCCCTCAGTATGGTGATAATATTGTATGGTGAGGTCCCTCAGTATGGTGAGGTCCTTCAGTATGGTGACAATATGGTATGGTGAGGTCCCTCAGTATGGTGATAATATTGTACGGTGAGGTCCCTCAGTATGGTGATAATATTGTACGGTGAGGTCCCTCAGTATGGTGATAATATGATATGGTGAGGTCCCTCAGTATGATGATAATATGATATGGTGAGGTCCCTCAGTATGGTGATAATATGGTATGGTGAGGTCTGGGTCGTTACTCTGCCTCGCCAGTCAAAAGTCCTCTATCTGGAGACTGAGAATGCTCTGTAGTGAACAGTGTATGAAGAGGAGGAGAGATGTCAGGGCACATCATCTCTGTTGTCCTCCAGTCGATAACAGCCTCTTTACGACTTCATGATACATACATCCTGTCTGCTGCCTCCAAACCATCCCCCCATGGACAGACAATGGGAAATGCATTTCTCTGCCCCTCCTGACTCCCCACCCCCTCTCCACTTATGAACTAATGCCTTCAGGAAATTACATCATCACTATGTGACCACAACTTTGTAGTGCAGTGAAAACGTTTGTGTTTGTGTTTGTGTGTGTGTGTGTGTGTTTGTGTGTGTATACATACAGTGTGTGTGTGTGTCTATGTATATAAGCTCATGTATGTGTAACAGTGTTGCTTCCATCCCTCTCCTTGCCCCAACCTGGGCTAGAACCATAGACACTCTGAACACATCAACAACCGTCACCCTCGAACATAGTTACCTGTCACCACAAAAGCCACGATTCTTGCAGAGCAAGGGAAATAACAGCTTCTAGGTCACAGAGCGAGGAACGTCACTGATTCACTGCTGCTAGTGCACACCGCTAACTAGCTAGTCATTTCACATTTCAACTACATATTCATGCAAGGGGATCAATACCCATTAGGAGATGGGCCCAATCATAAATTACCCCTCGTTCAATAAAATATTTCCAAGAAAATGAAGTAGTGTTGAGTTAAGTATGTGGTTATAGGAATAGGATGAGTAGAGACGATTTATCTCTCTGTGTCTGTAGTCCGCCACAATGTGTGGGTGAGTGAGTGAGCGTGGGTGTGGGTAGGTGGGTGAGTGTGGGTGTGGGTAGGTGGGTGAGTGAGTGTGTGGGTGGGTGAGTGAGTGAGCGTGGGTGTGGGTAGGTGGGTGAGTGTGTGAGTGTGGGTGTGGGTAGGTGGGTGAGTGAGTGTGTGGGTGGGTGAGTGTGTGAGTGTGGGTGTGGGTAGGTGGGTGAGTGAGTGAGTGTGGGTGTGGGTAGGTGGGTGTGTGAGTGTGTGTGTGTGTGTGTGGGTATCCATCAGGTCATAATATATTACAGCTCTCCCTCTAATCCAATTCACAACAGACTGGCAGCATAATGGTCTTCATGAGTTCCCACCGCTGTATGACCCTTCTCTCTCACACCCGCCCTCTCTCTTCCTCCTCTCTCACACCCACCCTCTCTCTTCCCCCTCTACAACCCGCCCTGCCTCTCTTCCCATCCTCTCTCACACCACCACCTCCTCCCTTTCCTTCCTCTCTCACACCCACCCTATCTCTTCCTCCTCTCACACACCCCGCCCTCTCTCTTCCCTCTCACACACCCACCCTCTCTCTTCCCCCTCTCACACCCCTGCCCTCTCTCTTCCTCCTCTCACACACCCCCTGCCCTCTCCTTCTCCTCTCTCCACCACCCTGCCCTCTCTCTTCCTCCTCTCACACACCCGCCCTCTCTCTTCCTCCTCTCTCACACCTGCCCTCTCTCTTCCTCCTCTCCACCCCCACCTCTCTTCTCCTCTCACACACCGCGCCCTCTCTCTTCCCTCTCCATCCCCACAACCCTCTCTCTCCTCCTCTCACACACCCGCTCTCTCTTCCTACTCTCTCACACCCACCCTCTCTCTTCCCCCTCTCACACCACCCTCTCTCTTCCCCCTCTCACACACCCGCCCTCTCTCTTTCCCCATCTCACACCTGCCCTCTATCTTCCCCCTCCACACACCCCCCTCTCTCTTCCCCTCTCACACCTGCCCTCTCTCTTCCCCCTCTCACACCCCCTCTTCTCTCCCCCTCTCACACACCAGCCCTCTCTCTTCCCCCTCTCACAACCTGCCCTCTCTCTTCCCCCTCTCACAACCCCCTCCTCTCTTTCCCCCTTCACACCTGCCCTCTCTCTTCCCCCTCCACACCCACCTCTCTCTCCCCCTCCACACACCGCCCTCCTCTTCTCACCTCCAACACTCGCACTCTCTCTTCCCCCTCACACCTGCCCTCTCTCTTCCCCCTTCACACACCCGCCCTCTCTTTCCCCTCTCAACACCTGCCCTCTTTCCCCTCTCCACACCCGCCCTCTCTCTTCCCCTCTCACAACCGCGCCTCTCTCTTCCCCTCTCAACCAACCACGCCCTCTCTGCCCATCTCGTCACAAACGCCCCTTCTTCCCACCTCTCAAAACCCGCCCTCATCTCTTCCCCCTCACACCCCCTGCCGCGCTTCCCCACCAACCCGACCCCTCTTTCCCCTCTACAACACCGCCCTCTCTCTTCCCCCTTCACACCCGCCTCTTCTTCCCCCTCACACACCGCCCTCTCTCTTCCCCCTCACACACCCGACCCTCTCTCTTCACCCTCTCACACCCCCCTCTCTCTTCCCCCCTCACACCCGCCTCTCTCTCTTCCCCCTCTTCCACACACCCCTCCCTCTTCTCCCCCTCTCACACCGCCCCTCTCTCTTCCCCACCCCCTCTCTTCCCTCTCACACACCCGCCCTCTCTCTTCCCTCTCTCACACCTGCCCTCTCTCTTCCCCCTCTCACACACCCGCCCTCTCTCTTCCCCCCTCACACCCACCCTCTCTCTTCCTCCTCTCTCACAACCGCCCTCTTTCTTCCTTTGTTTGCGTTGTCGTGTGTGAGAAGAGAAGCCAGGGTCTCTGCTTGTCAGGACTGTCTGTCAATCCAGTCCGATAAAGAGAAGTTGTTTATTAATAGTAGTATTATTAATGAGTGAAGAACATGCAGCTATGATGGCTTCCTCATATAGCTCCTAGACCATATACTGTATAACCCATGAGAACATCTCAATATCAAGGGTCTTCCTCAAGAGCATAACAGCGATGTGTGTTCTCTGATTTGTGTGTGTGTGTGTGTGTGTTTGTGCATGTGTGTGTGTGCACACGTGTGGGCTCTGGGGTGCTACCCAGGCTGTGTGTATGATCTCTGGGAACTACCCGCACTGAAGCGGTGGGTGAATGTAGTCAATGGAGTGGAAGGATAGGTGCTGGCCCGCTCTTCCAGGTTCTGACAGGCTCTGCCAGGTTCTGCCAGGTTCTCTGCTGGCCTGTAAGTGTTTAATGAGGGGTTATGTGGGTCCACAGCAATAGCGTGTGAGCGATAGAGTGTGTGTGTGTGTGTGTGTGTGTGTGTGTGTGTGTATGTGAGTGTGTGTGTGTGAGTGTGTGACTAGTGGTTCTGGGTGAACCAGTGGGCAGGAATAATAACCCAGCGTTCCTTTAATGAACACACACACCACATCACGTAAGGCCAGGACACACACCACGTCACGTAAGGCCAGGACACACACCACATCACGTAAGGCCAGGACACACACCACGTCACGTAAGGTCAGGACACACACCACATCACGTAAGGCCAGGACACACACCACGTCACGTAAGGCCAGGACACACACCACATCACGTAAGGCCAGGACACACACCACGTCACGTAAGGCCAGGACACACACCACATCACGTAAGGCCAGGACACACACCACGTCACATAAGGCCAGGACACACACCACGTCACGTAAGGCCAGGACACACACCATGTCACGTAAGGCCAGGACACACACCACGTCACGTAAGGCCAGGACACACACCACATCACGTAAGGCCAGGACACACACCACATCACGTAAGGCCAGGACACACACCACATCACGTAAGGCCAGGACACACACCACGTCACGTAAGGCCAGGACACACACCACGTCACGTAAGGCCAGGACACACACCACGTCACGTAAGGCCAGGACACACACCACGTCACGTAAGGCCAGGACAAACACCACGTCACGTAAGGCCAGGACACACACCACATCACGTAAGGCCAGGACACACACCACGTCACGTAAGGCCAGGACACACACCATGTCACGTAAGGCCAGGACACACACCACGTCACGTAAGGCCAGGACAAACACCACGTCACGTAAGGCCAGGACACACACCACATCACGTAAGGCCAGGACACACACCACATCACGTAAGGCCAGGACACACACCACGTCACGTAAGGCCAGGAAACACACCACGTCACGTAAGGCCAGGAAACACACACACTACGTCACGCCGGGCCTACAAGTCAGCTGCAAATCGAGTGAGCTGCCATTGGCTTTGTGCTCAGGCAGGCATATATAATCACTGATCTGCGGGATGGAGCCAGATCTGGGACAGTGGCAGATGAAGCCAGGGTGAGACAAGGAGCGGTGAGACCGGGTGAGACAGGGAGCACAGAGGGCCAAGATGAGTTACATGCTTACTACAGTGAGGGAAAAAAGTATTTGATCCCCTGCTGATTTAGTACATTAGCCCACTGACAAAGACATGATCAGTCTATAATTTTAATGGTAGTTTTATTTGAACAGTGAGAGACAGAATAACAACAAAAAAATCCAGAAAAACGCATGTCAAAAATGTTATAAATTGATTTGCATTTTAATGAGGGAAATAAGTATTTGACCCCCCTGCAAAACATGACCCTTGTTGGCAATCACAGAGGTCAGACGTTTCTTGTAGTTGGCCACCAGGTTGGCACACATCTCAGGAGGGATTTTGTTCCACTCCTCTTTGCAGATCTTCTCCAAGTCATTAAGGTTTCGAGGCTGACGTTTGGCAATTCGAACCTTCAGCTCCATACACTGATTTTCTATGGGATTAAGGTCTGGAGACTGGCTAGGCCACTCCAGGACCTTAATGTGCTTCTTCTTGAGCCACTCCTTTGTTGCCTAGGCTGTGTGTTTGGGGTCATTGTCATGCTGGAATACCCATCCACGACCCATTTTCAATGCCCTGGCTGAGGGAAGGAGGTTCTCACCCAAGATTTGACGGTACATGGCCACGTCCATCGTCCCTTTGATGCGGTGAAGTTATCCTGTCCCCTTAGCAGAAAAACACCCCCAAAGCATAATGTTTCCACCTCCATGTTTGATGGTGGGGATGGTGTTCTTGGGGTCATAGGCAGCATTCCTCCCCCTCCAAACTCGGCGAGTTGAGTTGATGCCAAAGAGCTCGATTTTGGTCTCATCTGACCACAACACTTTCACCCAGTTCTCCTCTGAATCATTCAGATATTCATTGGCAAACTTCAGACGGCCCTGTATATGTGCTTTCTTGAGCAGGGGGACCTTGCGGGCGCTGCAGGATTTCAGTCCTTCACGGCGTTGTGTGTTACCAATTGTTTTCTTGGTGACTATGGTCCCAGCTGCCTTGAGATCGTTGACAAGATCCTCCCGTGTAGTTCTGGGCTGATTCCTCACCGTTCTCATGATCATTGCAACTCCATGAGGTGAGATATTGCATAGATCCCCAGGCCAAGGGAGATTGACAGTTATTTTGTGTTTCTTCCATTTGCGAATAATCGCACCAACTGTTATCACCTTCTCACCAAGCTGCTTGGCGTTGGTCTTGTAGCACATTCCAGCCTTGTTTAGGTCTACAATCTTGTCCCTGACATCCTTGGAGAGCTATTTGGTCTTGGCCATGGTGGAGAGTTTGGAATCTGATTGATTGCTTCTGTGGACAGGTGTCTTTTATACAGGTAACAAGCTGAGATTAGGAGCACTCCCTTTAAGAGTGTGCTCCTAATCTCAGCTCGTTACCTGTATAAAAGACACCTGGGAGCCAGAACTCTTTCTGATTGAGAGGGGGTCAAATACTTATTTCCCTCATTAAAATGCAAATCAATTTATTAAATTTTTGACATGCATTTTTCTGGATTTCTTTGTTGTTATTCTGTCTCTCACTGTTCAAATAAACCTACCATTAAAATTATAGACTGATAATTTCTTTGTCAGTGGGCAATCGTACAAAATCAGCAGGGGATCAAATACTTTTTTCCCTCACTGTATATGCTGAGTGTGTATGATGTGTGTGTGTGTATTTTTATTTATTATGGATTCTGCAAAATTAAGGCAGTTATACAATTTTAAAAACATTACAATACATTCATAACAGATTTCACAACACACTAAGTGTGTGCCCTCGGGCCCCTACTCCATTACCACATATCTACAACACAAAATCCATGTGTACGTGTGTGTATAGTGCGTATGTTATCGTGTGTGTGTATGCATGTGTCTGTGCCTATGTTTGTGTTGCTTCACAGTCCCCGCTGTTCCATAAGGTGTATTTTTATCTGTTTTTTAAATCTGATTCTACTGCTTGCATCAGTTACCTGATGTGGAATAGAGTTCCATGTATTCATGGCTCTATGTAGTACTGTG